AACCCTGGTCCTCGAGTACCCCCAACAGTACACATTTTTATTGTAACCCTGGACAAGCACACCTGAGTTATACCATTCCTGGGGATTTGGCAAACAAGCAAAACATTAGGCTAAAGCAGTTCTAATGGTTTCAATGTTATAGTCTTCAATGGTAAAAATCCCAAACACACATTGTATAGTGTTTTCCAATGGGGTTGGGTGTAAAGGTAAATGTCACTAATCACACTACATATATAATTGTATTTTATTAGGGTTGTCAAAACATTTTAGTCACTAGCCCATTTCTCCATCAAAGTTTGGGCTTGCAGGAAAAGGCTTCATATGAGAATTCCCCCATACAGATAGCCCTCTCAGAGAGTTGCAATCCATTTAACCCCCTAGAGTCGATGTCCGCACCCCGGCGAAAAATAAATTAGCGTAAATAAATACATCCCCATCAAAATCCGTCAGTTTTAAGATAGAGATATAAAGAAATGTTGCATGGGCTGCGTCTCAATCTGCCGACGTCGCCCTTCCGCATCTGCGGTGAAAAGTGGCAGAGCTAGAGCGGTGTGTTTGTCAGACCATGAGACATCCCGAAAATTGGTCTTCTCACAAATGTCTGTAGCGCCCGACCGGTTTGGCTTTAGTAACTATTATGACCCCTCTATGGAAAGGTGAGTCTCTTTCTTGTGCTTTTTGAGGTGGACTGACTCCTCAGTAAACTACTGTCACACCCCTTTTACTCAGACTGTTAGTCTGTGAGAATCCTCAGAGCAGTTTGTTGCTTGAGGTTTATGAGGCAGAGAGGGAGCCCCCGTGGCTAGGAAACGCTCCATTGAACATGGTGCATGATAATGATCATGAACCACCCTAACGTAAACACCCATTTGGTGCTATGCAGTTTTTGTTTGAGCTTTTTATTGTGTGAGATTAGGCTACATCTCCAAAGAAGTTCTCTATCTTTGTCATGATGAAAAACAAGTGTGTAAGCTATTTATTAAGTAATTAACCTCCCAAATGTGACATTCATTTTGTAATTAGTTATTAATCATGATTGACTGCTGACCTAGAGATTGTAATTAGGGGTGTGAATGTTTAAACTTTTAAATTAAATTGGGATCCTTAACGTTAAGAAAAACCCCTAATGGAAAAACTGTCCCCACCCACCACCACCACAAAATTAAAATCACAGTGCAGCTTGCTCGCCTGCACTCTCATTGCTAGCGTGTTTAGGCTTCGGTCTGTTGCGTGTAGAGTATATTAACCTATTCTTTGATGATAGGCCCTGCTTTACGAGACATTGCAAGCCAAGAAATTGCAAAATACATCATTCCATTGCGAGATACAGCTTTTGATTGCCGATAGATAGGCCTAGTGCATGGTTCTGACTCAGTTTGCCTGGTGGCCGACCTTCCTATACTGTGCCCCTCCCCGCTCTCTCGCCAGCTCACTATGAAAGTGTTTGTTCTCAGAAGTACAGCAACTAATCAGTCTCCTGTGTTCCAAAAATACTTAATCTTTAGGAGTCGATTCCTAGTGGAAGATTTTTTTTCTTTCTACTGAACGTCTTGGTAAGTCACGGTATTTAACAAACTTTAAAGTACTTTTTTAGCTCAGCGCTGTCTGCGTGCAGGCAGGAAGGCTGCGCACAGGTAGTTTGAGATTATTTGATTGACAATTCTGGTCGCCTAGTGATGGATGTTTGTCCAGTTTCAGAAGCGGCATTCCTTTAGACAATTCAAATGACCATTCACTAGCGCTTCGAAACTATCTCCAGAGAAGATTTCGTGTCGGCATTTAAAAAACGTAGTGTACCCTTACAGAAAAACATGCTGTAGCCTAGGTGCTTTCAAGGGTATATGACTGAGGTATAACTTCATTGCCCGGCCCTAGCGTCTTTTTAAAGTGATCATTATTCTGAATTGTTTTAACTGAAAAGCATGGGAACCGGTTAATAACGTTCTGGACCTTTTTTTCCAGGGCACAAAAAACGCGAACAAAGCGCCTATGCCAAGCCTTCACTCTGTCACTCAGACTTATTCCAGTGTCTGCCTGCAAGCTGAACATCTTTGCCAGTGTTTGTGCATGTGTAGGCTACCTCCCCCTCCGAAGCATAGGCTACTGTTACAAGCGTGATTCGGAAATTAGGTGTTAGGCTTTTTCAATGCTAATTAAGGATACTATAGTTTATCACGTTTCAAATTGGATTATTAACTACAAAAAGTTAAGACGTGTTTATTTTAATTCTGGTTCCGCTCTGCACACACAAGCTTGTTAGCTAGCTAGCTCTGGTCGGAAGTTCAAAGACATTCAAAGTTTCTTCTTAGAAGCCGCTCCTCCGTAGGTATAAATATGTGGTCCTAATTCAGATAATGCATGTCCTAACAAGATTCCCAGCACTTCAAGCAAAGCCTCCTCCACCCTCTCTCGTGCTCTCCCCGCCCGCAAAATTTAACGGAACGAAAAAATATGTTTCTGTTAAGAATGAAACAAGTCTTAACCCCTGGTTTAAACGTTAAGCAAAATTGTCAATTTGTCACATCCCTAATTGTAATGGAAAATGACAGATTGTAGGTTCATCATGGGATGGTAATAACAAGGAGTCTGGCTCTGCTGTGTCTCATCTTGTTACAGTTCATAGTACTGTTGTGAATAGGATTAAGGCTTCTTGGAATAACTCCCCAGACAGGCCCTCTCCTTGCAGCCTCCCTAAGGGTACTTGTTTGGCCTCCCTTCCTCATCTAGGCTAAGGGCATTGTCTACTCCTTTTACACAACCTGTCCACAGAATGCGTCCCAACTACAAATAATATTCCCTTTCTCCTGAAGTGTACACTTGTTCACTACTTCCATCAAATATAAAAGCATTAGATTGGTGGAGGCATGGGCTAGAGGGGGTTTCCAACATATTTTTTATTCCAAATCATTTCCTTTCAAATCAATGAAGGGCAGTGAACAAGTGAACACTTTGGGAGGAAGGAGAGAATGCCTAATTGGGACGTAGCCAGTGTCAGTTGTCTGAAGCTTGACGACTTCATGCTGATTTGATGGACAGACACCGGTTCGGTTAGGCCATGTAGATTAATTTCATATAGATATTGGAGTTAAATATACTGACTGATACATCGCTATCTGATGGTTTCAGCTCCAGCTGTGTTGAATCTAGTCTCGAAAACCAGAGCCTAGGCGCAACAGTGACTAGGGTCTGGTTTCAATGATGGACTCTTTTGTCATAGAGGAGCTACATTACCGCCGATGTCACTACCTTATCCGCTTCAATAAAATACAAAATAATCTAGCAAGATGGAGATCAGAGGTAATTTTTTATGAGTGCATTTCGCAAGTGGCTAGTTTGCGTCAACTACTACCTTCACAACTCTCTTATCGAAGTTGCAAAAAGAGTCTGTCATTGAAACCAGACCCTAGTTACTGTTGCCTAGGGTCGGGTTTTCGAGACTAGGTTGAATCCTACCCATATGTTTGAGAGATCAGTGCTGCTGGGCCTGCTGTCTAACTGAGAAATCACATGACAGGAATCTTGAGTAATCAGCAACGTTTCATACAACCTAGACTTCTGTTTATTTCTCAGACAGCAAGCTGCTCTGTCTGTATAGTATGGTCTGAGACATGGTGACATAACAATTTACAGACCATATTGATCAATAAATAGGCCCAATGTTGCAGTTTAGTGTTATGGAGTGGTGAGCAGCTAGACACAATGTTACAGCTGAAAAAGGTCCTTCAGAAAGTATTCACACCCATTGACTTTTTCCACAGTTTGTTGTGTTACATCCTGAATCTAAAAAGTCAATAAGTATTCAACCCCTTTCTTATGGCAAACCTAAATAAGTTCAGGAGTAAAAATTGGCTGAACAAGTCACATAAGTTGCATGGACTCAATCTGTGTGCAATAATAGTGTTTAACATGATTTTTGAAAGTCTGCCTCATCTCTGTACCCCACACATACAATTATCTGTAAGGTCCCTCAGTCGAGCAGTGAATTTCAAACACAGATTCAACCACAAGGACCAGGGAGGTTTGCCAATGCCTCGCAAAGAAGGGCACCTATTGGTAGATGGGTAAAAAAAATAAAACAGACATTTAATATCCATTTGAGCATGGTGAAGTTATTAATTACACTTTGGATGGTGTATCGATACACCCTGTCACTACAAAGATACAGGCATCCTTCCTAACTTAGTTGCTGGAGAGGAAGCAAACCGTTCAGGGATTTCACCATGAGGCCAATGGTGACTTTAAAACAGATTTTAATGGCTTTGATAGGAGAAAACTGAGGATGGATCAACAACATTGTAGTTGCTCTACAATACTAACCTAATTGACAAAGTGAAAAGAAGGAAGCCTGTACAGAAGAGATTTTTTTTCTCTCCAAAACATGCATCCTGTTTGCATTAAAGTAATAGTTTTGAATTAAATGTACTTGAAAATGTTTGTCTAGCAATCATCAACAACCAATTTGACAGAGCTTGAAGTATTTTGAAAAGAATAATGGGCAAATGTTGCACAATCCAGGTGTGGAAAGCTCTTAGACTTACCCAGGAAGACTCACAGGTGTAATCACTGCTAAAGGTGCTTCTACAAAGTATTGACTCTGGGATGTGAATACTTATGTAAAATGAGATTTCTGTATTTCATTTTCAATAAATGTGTAAACATTTCTAAACATGTTTTCACTGTCATTATGGGGTTTCTGTGTGTAGATGGGTGAGAAATCAATTGAATCCATTTTGAATTCAGGCTGTAACACCACAAAATGTGAACTAAGTCAAGGGGTATGAATACTTTCTGAAGGCACTGTAATTGTATGGTAAGCCCAAGCACTGTACAATTTAAATGGGATTGTGAGTGATCTCGACAAAATGTATTGATAATGTGTGGTTTCTACATGATACCCAAATAGAATTGATTCATAGACCCACAAGCACCAAAGCAGGCCGGTAATGGCTACATTGTCTCTGACTCATCTCTAAGTGTTCTCTCTCTCTTTCAGAGCCACGATGGCCACCGCACCGTACAACTACTCTTACATTTTCAAATACATCATCATTGGTAAGTGAGCCGTGAGCGAGCGTGCTGAGGGAGTGGAGTGGAGGCCTGTGTTTGTATACTACTGTGCTGTATGTGGGTCACCCAGTGGCTGCAGTTAGTACACAACTCAGTGAGATGCTACTGCTGCTCTCCCAACACAAGCCCTGGAAGAGTTCCTATCAGTAGACTAGAGACTAAAACTCCAGGCCCTACCAATGACCCGATCACAGCAGATTTTCTTTGATGCAGTATGAGGTTACCACCTAAGTGATTTAAAACACAATAAATGTTTCCCCAAGAAGCTAGCCTAAGCCAAGCTGAATGGTTTGTTATAATGAACCAACAGTGTACTAGTAGCAGGGTAATTAATTCACAAATACATTAATTATTGCTCTCCTTCTGTCTGGTCTAAATAACTAACAGAAAAAAAGAATGAGCAATGAGCATGAATAGCCTACATTTGTGGAGGTGGCTTTTTTTAATGTTTTTTAAAATTATTTGTTTTGTCATTTAGCAGACGCTCTTATCCAGAGCGACTTACAGTTAGTGAGTGTATACATTATTTAATTTTTTTTATACTGCCCCCCCCCCGTGGGAATCAAACCCACAACCCAGGCGTTGCAAACGCCATGCTCTACAAACTGAGCTACATCCCTGCCGGCCATTCCCTCCCCTACCATGGACAACGCTGGGCCAATTGTGCGCCGCCCCATGGGTCTCCCGGTCGCGGCCGGCTAAGACAGCCTGGATTTGAACCAGGATCTCTGGTGGCACAGCTAGCAGTTAGCCTTAGACCACTGCGCCACTCGGGAGGCAAGGTTTAACTTACAACTTACGTGGTCCAGTTTTCCAGTTAGTATTTTCCCACCTGTTTGGTACCCTAAAACTGGGCAGTTAAATCACTATCTCAACATCTCTCCAGCTAGCTGGAGGTTGTTTACCGTGGTGCATCGAGGCCTTAAAAGCCCCACCTTAATGTCAACACATTTCCCTTCTTTGTCTGAGTGTGGACCTGTTTGACAACAGCCAAAAGCCCCCGTCATGTTCTCCTCTTGTTTGCTGTCTGTTACGCAGACGACAATGTGGTCATACAACACACACACACACACACACTTTACACACATCACTTTAGCTCCATAGCTAGAGCAGACATTAGTGTATAGGCCTAAACAAACAAAAGATGCTCTGCACTCCCCCACTCTAACTACCAGCCTTCCATTCAGTCAAAGCCCTGCAGGTCCATTCATGCTGCCTCTTCAAGTGGTCTCACATGTGTAAATAGCATTCTGTTAATAATGTCTGAGGAGGAGAGGGAAGATGCTCTAAATGAGAACTTGTTCTCAACTGGCTTACCTGGTTAAATAAAGGTGAACAAAAAAGTGCTATTTCTCTGCTACAACTAGGACTCAGTCTTTCCTGGTCAGACCAAGTGGTCAGGGAAAACTCCTCCCTCCCTAGAAATTAGATATGACATCATAGGAAATAAGTTATGTCTGCAAAAAATATATATATCCATTTGTATGTTATGTTGAGATTGAACATGGATCCTAACACCTCTCTCACCTTCTCTCTCTCTCTCCATAGGGGACATGGGGGTAGGGAAGTCGTGTTTGCTTCACCAGTTCACAGAGAAGAAATGTAAGTACATCCCCGGCTCCCCACTGACTCCAGACAGACACAACCCTCCCTCTCAATCTACTCTAAATGCCCTTCTGATGCCTCACATGCTGACTAGACCGGGCGCGACCGGGCGTCCACGTGCGCCATCGCGTGCATGTTGATTTTTTTCCATCCACACCAGACGCGATCAGGACACGCAGGGTGAAATATCAAAGCGAACTTTGAAAGAACTATATTAATTTTGGGGACAGGTCGAAACACATGAAACATTCATGGCCATTTAGCTAGCTAGCTTGCTGTTGCTAGCTAATTTGTCCTGCGATATAAACATTGGAATGCACAAGGTCTTTTTCTTCTGGATCTTTGTAGAATTTTGACCCATTTTGAGTCACACCAAATTGTGTGTTCTCTACCCCGATAATGAATCCACAGATAAAAGAGGAAAGTTAGTTTCTAGCTAGTTACTTTCTAATATCTCTCCTTCATTCTTCTTCTTGTTCTGTGGACTTTATATGGTGGTTGGCAAACAACTTTTAAAGTGCATTACCACCACCAAACTGGACTGGAGTGTGGACCTCAGTTCATCTTTCAATCACCCACGTGGGTATATGCTCCTGAAACCAATGAGTAAATGGGAGAGGCAGGACTTGCAGCGCGTCAAGTGAAAAAAAATAGAGCCAAGTTCTGTTTTAGCGCCTGGCTATGCAGACTCACGCGAGCAGTTTGGATGAAATTATTGAATAACATGCATGTGTACATTTTATTTTGCAACGCCCGTGCACGTAACACGAGCATTGTGGTCAGCATGTCAGTCACGTCACTATAACACCCAGGAGTTTGTAATAGGTTTTAATGGCAGTATTAGCAGCAGTAAGTGCAGATGCTCTCCTCCTCATTTGGTCTCTCTAGCATCACATCCTGCACGGCTCAGTCTCAGTCACACAAGTGGCCCATAGACGTGGCTCTGAACGAACAGGCTGCTACTTTGTGAGTGCTGAATGTCAGGTTTGAAGGCTTCCTCTCTGCCGCTGGTTAACATTGAAACGCAGGTGGTAAAAAACCAACTGGCAGGCTGCTCTGCCAGTCTGAAATTGATACTTGACCCACCTGCTCTCTCTGTTGCCTCACAATGGAGGGTAAGTGTCTGTATACGATTTAAGAGTGCACCTGATTTTAGACTGTGTAGAAGATGTATATGGGTTCTGTTAATACTTTCAGTTGGTGCTAGCTGTGTCACTGGAAGGCTGTTCTGTATGGTAGTTCAGAGCGAGAGAAGGAGAGAGAGATTGAGCAGGGGTAGGAGGGGGTGTAGTTACAGTAAAGCTGGGTGTACACTACATGTTTTTTTCCCCGACTAAGCTGTCCCAGACAAGTTTCTGAGATCGGAGACAAAATCCCCATGTCGTTGCCTACTCAGGGCACGCGGCCGTCACTGCCGCTCGTTCAATGTGAGTGGGTCAGAGACACAATCTGAGGCTACCGATCCCGTATTTGAGTAGTCCCAGATGTGCCAATATTTTCAAACGTTTGATTTTATCAGCACAATCGGCAATGCTCTTTTTAAAAAAAATTTATTGTCAAATACACCGGATAGGTGTAGTGAAATGTGTTGTTTTACAGGGTCAGCCATAGTAGTACGGCCCCCCTGGAGCAAATTAGGGTTAAGTGCCTTGCTCAAGGCCACATCAACAGATTTTTCACCTTGTCGGCTCGGGTATTCGAACCAGCGACCTTTCAATTACCACTAGGCTACCTGCCACCCTACCTTCTTGTAGTGCGAGATGTGCAATGAACATTTTTGAGAGTGGTGACCAGCAATAGCCAATGAGAGTTCGCCAGACATTGTATCACATCACCCAGAATGTACTACTAGTATGCATTTGTACTTGCCTTTAACCAAAGCCAGTGTCAAATCGTTACACCTCTGATGTTTACAAGCAATGTTATTTAATTCAAAATGTTGGCTAAATATTTCAACTCTCTATGGCAAGCGTGAATATCTGACTAAAAACGTTTGAGGCTGCTTTGAGCACAGCTCGTTCTAGCTACGTTAAGTCTAATCACATCACATTGTTTTGGCGAGAACGCATGGTACGGAGAATCCTCACGACCAAGAGAAGAATCTCCACATGTTTGGCAAGACAAAAAACTACAGGAAAGATGGTGGTTTAATGTGAGAGGCTCAATGATATTAGGATTTTGGAAGTCGTGTAGTGTACACCCGGCATAAGTGGAGTAGAGAGCAGGGAGGGAGAGAAAGAAAGCGAGATGAGTCAGGCTGAGGAAGTGTGTTAGGTCTACTGAGTCAGTCTTGCATGATGGGAGATGTAGTTCAGTTCATTCCATTGAGTCTCCACATGACTCTTGATAAAGAAGTGAGATTGAATTAATTCCACTGCTGTGTTTGATTTCAATTGATTTCTGGATGTTTTGGGGAAACCTCATTGGATTCCTCTTTGCCTAGCCTAACGACCAGTGCCTTTTCCCAATCTCTCTCTCCTCCAGTCATGGCGGACTGCCCCCATACGATCGGCGTGGAGTTTGGCACGAGGATAATCGAGGTGAGCGGCCAGAAGATCAAGCTGCAGATCTGGGACACGGCGGGCCAGGAGCGCTTCAGGGCTGTCACACGTAGTTACTACAGGGGGGCCGCGGGCGCACTCATGGTCTACGACATCACCAGGTACACACACACACACACACACACACTCACAGATGTGCCTGAACATTAAAGCTCCATGTAGAAGCTGCCTGTAGGTCCAGATCTAGGGTCAGATGATCCTAACCTAAACCATTAGGTTGAGAAACACACAACTGACCTCGGATAAGCATCTAGGGGTCAACTTCATCCTACTCTTCCTGGCCCCCTCAGCCTGTTCAACAATACACAACCCACCCATTACCTGACTGGTCAGATTATCTGTCTTCAGTTGGTCTGTGTCTGCCTATGTGTGAGTAGGAGAGGAAAAGAGGCAGATACCATGAAGTGCGCCCCCCTCTCTTCCTGAGCAAACATGGTGTCTGCATCCTGTTGCCCTCCCTCTTTCCAAAACGAATTTTAGCGCTGCACGTTGACACCTGTGCCTCAGACTAAGAACTAATGTCAGAACTGAAGAAGAGCCAGTAAGCGATATCAGGACGTCTTTTCTATAAGTGAAAGGCTTTAGATACAGGCCCACAGACATGTCGCCGTGTGTCACCACCGCGCCTTTGATCCCACTTAGGATGTGGCACAATCTGTTTTGTCCCAGCATGTCGCCATGGTAAGTAATGTCCTCTTCTGTGTGTGTGCCACAGGAGAAGCACATACAACCACCTCAGCAGCTGGCTGACTGACGCCAGAAACCTCACCAACCCCAATACTGTAAGTATTGTTTCACGTTATGTTTCGCACTGTTCCTCTGGCTGCCTGTCTGACTCTCTAACACACTGTGTCTGGTTGGATGTCTAATTCTACTGCCAAGGTTCCTGTCTGTCTTTCTCTCTCCTCATTTGTCTTTTTCTCCCTGTCCCATTTCTCGCTCTCTCTCTCATCCTGTCTCTCTTTCACTCGGTGTCTCTCACTCTCTCACACACACTGTGCTTTATCCCACTGCAGCACACCCATTGTGTTTGATTGATGTCCTAGAGCCCCGTCCATCTCTAAATTGGATTTGGACAAAAATTATGGCGAAATCACACTGCTTTTATTTACGGATCAGAATATGCTTTTAACTTGTTTGTACAAAGGTAATATCCTAAACTCACTCAAACAGTCAGCTAGTTTGTACTCAAAGACAACTGAGTCTCACGTTGGAAAATGATACATGACTAGTGCTCAGATGCATTGGAAATGGAATATTCATATCTGTATCTTTCATGGTGTGTAGCCGATACAGTATGTATTGCTGAATCCATTTCTCACACCGATGCTAAGTTATAAGAGCTCTCTTTCTAAGACGCTGGGTAAAGTGAGCGAGCTGTCTCATGTGTCGTTTTCTGCCTGTAAGTGAGTGAGTAATAGGTGTGAGTGAGGATGCTGCTGTTCATGTGTTTGGTATCTGGAAGACTGACTGACTCGGTCTGTCCTCCCCCAGGTGATCATTCTCATAGGTAACAAAGCAGACCTGGAAGCCCAGAGGGACGTCACGTATGAGGAGGCCAAGCAGTTCGCTGAGGAAAACGGTGAGACGGAATACCCTCACTCGATGAGAGCGAGAAGGATTGAGAGAGATGGAAGCGGAGTAAAACTCACATCAATCTCTCTCTATCCCTCCCAATGGAATTGACTGTGCGGTAATGCCCCCACACTTTCACTTGGGCTGGGATTCAACCCGATTGTGATTGTAGACAACGCAGCTTTTAAAGGCAAAGTTACCGCGTTCGTTGAGATCGCGTTCAAGGTCAACGCTGCAGATGCCCGCTCAATTAGAAATGACCTTTAAATGTCAATTGCGCAGTAATGCGGCCCTACCGCAGATCAGAACGAATCCTGGCCTTGGTGATTGGAAGGAGAGCAAGAGAGGGGTGTGAGGAAGAACAGATCAAAAGGAGCAACTCGTCTCTGATAGAGGGAGAAAGAGGGAGGCGAAAGAGGAGTAAATGGCACATGCATTCAAGCACAGAGTGCAAAAGACGTGAGGACACATTCATAGAGCGAGTGAGCGATAAGTATAGGTAGGAGGGTGGTTGGGGAACTGTATATTTCTTCTGCAGTAGTCTGACTCCATTCCTTGTGTTACAGGTCTCTTATTCCTGGAAGCCAGCGCAAAAACGTAAGTTAACTGACCTCTGTACATTCCGCCTGCTTTTACCGCAGACATTTTCAATGGTCTGAAATGTGCTGAAATGCTCCGACGAGTTCCTAACCGTGTGACTGACTGACTGGCTGTCCTCTTCCCAGGGGTGAGAACGTGGAGGATGCCTTTCTGGAGGCGGCTAAGAAGATCTACCAGAACATTCAGGATGGCAGTCTGGACCTGAACGCTGCAGAGTCAGGTGTCCAACACAAGCCCTCCGCCCCCCAGGGAGGCCCGCTATCCAACGAACCACAGCCCCAGAGGGAAGGCTGCGGCTGCTAATGACCAACGCCTTTCTCTCTGTCCTTCTCCACCCACTCTCTCTCTCTTTCCTCATCCTCCCTCCATCACCCCCTGCCCCTCCATACTCCACTGGGACTGCATGAGTGTGGGTCACGGGTGGAGGGAGGGAACAAGGGATGTGTTGGCTGGCCTGGGTTGTGTAGTAGTGTACGTCCCACTGCCTCCCTCCTTCTTCCCTCTATTCATCTCTCTCTCCTCTTCCTTTCCGGTCTGTGCATCCTCCTCCTCCTCCTCCATCTTTTCACTTGGTCGTCGTCTTCACTTCTTTCTCTCGTTTCTTCTCTTCCTCTCCTCCTCTGCTCCATTCAGTCCAGCTCATCTGCCATGGGATTCCAAATCCACACACATTTACATATATATAAAGACATGGGTTACTGACACATAGATGGGTAAACCTGAAGAAAAGCTTTTTTTAACGTTTCCTTTTATAGCTTCTACTATATTATCAATCGAGTCTCATCTACCACATCCGAAACCAACCAAGCCTGTATAGTCTAACCTCCACTGACGTTGAATTATCCAGACAGTCTCCGCATCTCTCACCCCGCATCACTCCTGCATGGTTTAATGATCTAGGACTATTTTTAATTGAACTGAAATTACATGTGTATGATTTAACATTTTCCCTCAATGGCTTGGGCTCTTCCGGTGGTGGAGATGGTTAGTGAAAGCAATGATGTAATGTATGACGCGATCCGCTACTGATCACTATTAGCGGTGCTATGCGAGGTGTGTGTGTGTGTGTGTGTGTGTGGGTGCGCGCGTGCGTGTGTGTATTTGGTCTAGTTGTTGAACCTGGCCTAGAACAGGTTTCTACTCTACCCAAAGCTTTCCCCTCTGGTCCTTATGGTAAAGCTCTAATACTAGGCAGAGATGGAATCCCTCTAATGGTGTCCTATAGTACACCTCAGAGTGGCAACACTAGTGTAGTAGAGAGACACTTTAAAGCCCAAGACAGCTGGAATTCCCCAGAAACGCCTCTACCTACTTGTCTTTCTCCCTAGATGATGTCACAGGAAAGGCTCTGGGTGATTTCCTGCCAGTACAGTGTGTGTGTGCAGGGATGGGGAAGGGATTTCTTTGACTAAGTTAATGACACTTAAGAAAACAAGACACGTTTTCCTTTATGGGAAGGATTCCTTCAGATCATCAATTTCATTGCACCAACTTCCTCCTCTCCCCCCCCCCCCCCCCAGCCCATATCAATAGAATCTGTCTGTCCTTACCAGCATTTCTTTTGTCGTCGTTTGTTGCCTTATTGTTATGGTTAATATTATTACTGTTTAATATTTTATTTGCTGCGCTTGCACTACATACTGCTTTTGGACTACATACTTCTGTCAAACAAACTGTTTTACAATATGGTGATATTTTTGTGGAGAACATGGTAACTGGGTGCTGATGAAAAGACTGAGGTAGAAGTTGCCCCCTAAATCCAGAGCTAGGATATTTTTTTTAAAAGTCAAATTGGGGCTGTTTTATATTTGTCCTGTTTCTTCAAATCAAATTTTATTGGTCACATACGTGTTTAGCAGATGTTATTGCGGGTGTAGCGAAATGCTTGTTACATGTACAGGTGTGAAATGGAAATGTATTTTTTTTGCATATCCCACTACCCCAGAGACACCCTCGGAGAGTGGTGTCACGGCCAGGGATCAGCCATTGACAGTGACGCTGGAGCAATTAGGGTTAAGTGCCTTGCTCAAGGGCAGATCGACAGATATTTCACCTAGTCGGCTCAGGGATTTGAACTAGCAGCCTTTCGGTTACTGGCCCAAAGCTCTAACGACTAGACTATCTGCTTCGATCAGCTTACCCTACTCCAGTCCTTACCTTACCTATTATGAGGTGAGTAATTCAAACCGACCCCAGATCAACGCTAAGGGGCATCTTAACCCTACACCTGTGGTCCCTCGCCCCAGCCCACTCTCCCCATATGCTTGTATAGTAACGAAACCAAGCAACATGCCCCACCAAAACGGCCCCAAATGGGAAAAGTTTGAATTTCTTCAAGCTCAATTTCTGTACCATAAGAATAATTTCGCTGTATATATTGCTTGTATATCTGTTGGTGACCATGCTATTTGGAGGATAGGCAAGCCCAGAGATTGAAGATAAACATGCTGGCTTCGTAGAGATCTGTAGAGTTGTTTGTGGGGAGCTTGTATTTCATGCTTGGGAATTCTGTAACATAGGCCTAGATTTCATCAGACCAAGCGTTAACCGTTGATATGCATAGCTGATGTTTTGGAGCTGTCAAATCGGTGAGCAGCTGCTCTTGATCATTGTCACGAAGCCACACCCATCCCACTCGCATTAGAAGTTCCGAACAAGAAAGTGTTGGCTATAAAGAAATAATTACTCTCAAATTGAAATTCATTAAATGAAAGGATTTCCATCAGCCTAATCAAGGTATAGATTACATCTCACATTCCAGTGTATTAACTTGTAAACAAGCTGCATCGGCTTTATCTTAATGCAACTCCGTGCAGCCAATGGCAATGCCCGCTTTAGGTATAGTGCCAGGAGCAGCTTGTGGATTTGACAGCTCTAACGCAGTTAAACCTCCGATACCACCAAAACAACCGCTATGTGGATGAAGCGGATTTGATTGAATCGAGCCCATAGTTTCTATGAATAAATGTGTATGGGCAGACTCCCGCTCTACGCACTAGTGATACTTGGTGGTTCCATTGTTTTGTTTATCCTCAGTCTCTGGTAGAGGGGGAGGGGAAGTGTACAAACTAGTACTTTGTCTTGCAAGCTTTGTCGATTCCACTCTAAACTCTTGTTTGTAGGAGGTGGAGTGGAGAATGTCACTGTTTTTGAGTTGGGTTTTTATCTCTCCATGTTGTATTTCTTAGGCACCATGTAATGTTTTTAATGAAATTGGATAGAACTATGATGACCAAAGTATGAAAATAACTGTTGCTTCTACATTGATAAAGTTATTGGTCCCGTCCCCATGTCAAACGCTTGGATTCAGGAGGCGGGATTATTAAGGGGACAGGGTGGCATCACCCTAACTCAATTTAATACACCAATGGTAACGTGTTGCTGTCTTAATTTTGGGGTGTGGGAATTGGCTGGTTGGTGGGTGGGAGGGTCTAGAGATGGGTCCTCCTTGTTCACTTTTTCTGTCCACATGCGTTATAAAACGTACATATGTATACATTTTGAAGGCGCTGTTCTAACATTTAAATGCATTCTTGTGTGTATATGATTTTAATAATGACAATGCTCTAGCCAGAAAATACATCATACATAACCTGTTGTACTGCTGGTGTCATTATTGTCACATTGTCCATGGACAATTACATACTTCCATCAATATTGTGCATGTAAAAATGTAACTGAAGTATGAACAGAGGCAATTGAGTTTCAAGTAGCAAAATTGCTTTGCATTTTAATGCAACAAATTGCACCATGGTTACACGAAAAAAGAAAGAAAATGTATTTACAAAGGAGAGCAAAATGAGTCTACAAAATGGTGAGGCGGCTCGGATACAAAAAAAAAATCAAAGTAGTGGCATGATTTTTATGGGGGGGGGGGGGGGAATAAAAAATACATGAACAATGAATCAACATTGAACAGTACCATGTTGAAGTAAAGGCAGCTTGTGGTTGATTTCATCCTCAGGCATCGCAGTCAGACAGGGCAAGGGTGTGGGGAACAGCACAAACTAATACTGAAAACAAATGCATTATTTAAAACGAGAGAAGTAGAAAAAACACAAAGGAACATCTTAGTCATTCCCCCCCTGACTACACAGTGGCATTTCATTGGTTTGGTAAGAAATAACTCCTATAATCAACAATGGTCAGTTTCTCATAAGACAAAGCAAGTGATGTCCTCCATCCATTGAGCCAACAGAGGATCTCTGATGGCCATCCAACTATAGAAGGCTTTTGTGAGGTTTGTAAGTGGTGTGCGTTGAGTGTAATAAAACAGTCAGTCAAGAAGACAAGATGGAAACAACATTCAGAGTTAAGTTGGAGTTTCCTGGTCCTGCACCCTGGTCCCTCTCCAGTAGTGTTCAGTATGGAATAGGACAGTCTGATGTGCCTGAAGAATAGACATTACAATTTTCCTCATCCACGGAAGTATTTGTAAGGCTATATTGCTCTGTTTTAGTTTGGCTTTGGGGAATTACATTGATAGTGTTTTTAAGGCACTCTTTATTCAGATCTTGTGCACAGAAGCAAAAATGTTCCCAGGTAGTCTTCCTGCCCACTTTGCTTATTTCCTCTATGGCACAGTGCTATTAGCATCCATTCAAACTCAATACTGACACAGTCATATCTTCACCATTCATATCACACCACAGAGATCTGCCAAGCTGAGGGAAAAAAGGTAGATGAGGTGACTACCAAAATGAGGTGGAGAGACAATGTGCACTTCCAGACACTCCCCATTACTTCTGGATGGAAACAATACGTGTGCACGCTTTGGCTGTTTCAGTCTCCACAGAGCTGGAAGGCATCCTCAGCCATATGAGGCTTTAAGTTTGTGGCACATTGGCAACTCTGCCAAATGTAAAACACTGACAGTAAAGGAAAGAATGTGATATGCTTTTTGTCTATAGTGTCATAAAAAAAGACATGATCATATAGAAAATGATTGATGAAAAGGTGACATGATGCAGAATTGGGCCCAGGCCTCTCTGGTTAAGGCCAAATTGAACTTGCATTCGTAGTTAAGGCTTTCAGACAAAACACGAGGAAAAACTCATCGAGCATAGTAAACACAGTCTTTAGAGTTTGAAGTGTCCTCCGACATCCTGTAAGGCTGCATAAAGTATATTTCTCCAAGGTGTGCATCATGCTCAAACTGTCCTGTGGCACTGTAGCATGCCCTGCCCTCCACCTCAATGTGAGTTCAGCATGACCACGGTCGAGGAGACACGACCGTGGAACATTACATTAAGGGAGGTTAGGTTCAGCTGGGTTTTTTTTCAGTCAGTGTGGCCTCCTCTCAG